TCTCTATGGAAAGAAACTTGTCACTGATTCTGATTGTTATGTCCTATTCTCTTCTCTCTCTTGTCTTTTTTAGGAGCAAAAGATGAATCAAATGATTGGACTTGCAAAAGAAAGAGATGGACTTTATTTTTTTGATAAGCCTAGTGAATGTAGTAGGATTCAAAGCTTGATGGCTTCCTTCTCTTCTTAGTCGAAAAGAGTTGAGTCTATAAAAGATCAAATTTGGCTTTATCACCATCGTTAGGGTCACCCTTCATTTAATGTTTTGAAAATTATGTTTCTTTCTTAGTTTAAAGATGTACTTGTTGAGTCCTTTCATTGTGATGTTTATGAGTTTGCAAAATATAAACGATCTTCATATCCTATGAGCAATAAAAAAAACTTTTATTCCTTTTAACCTGATTCATAGTGATATTTTGGGTCCCTTTACTGTTCTTAATGTTATCGGGTCTCGATGGTTTGTGTCTTTTATTAATGATTGCACTCATGTCACATGGATTTATTTGTTAAAATAAAAATCTTATGTTAGTACTATTTTTCCTAAAAGTGATTAAAACTCAATTTAGAGTTGGGATACAAAGGTTTAGGTCTGTCAATGCAAAAGATTCTTTTAATCATTCATTATCCATATTTTTTGATACACATGAAATTCTATATGAATCATCCTATATTAATACTCCCCAACAAAATGGGGTGGTTGAGAGGAAAAATAGTCATCTTCTTAATGTTACTAGAGTCTTATTGTTTCAAACTAATGTGAGATAAGTTGTTTTAACTACTACACACATGATTAACAGGCTTCCAACCTCGGTCCTTGGTTTAAAGAGTCCTATTGATGTTCTTACCCAATTTTTCCCTAATTTGAATGCATCAAGTAGTCGTATACCTGGAATATTCGGATGTGTGGTCTTTGTTCATGTGCACTCTTAATAAAGGACTAAATTTGACCCTAGAGCTCTTAAATGTGTGTTTGTTGGATATTCCTCTACTTAAAAAGGGTATAAGTGTTATCATCCTCCTTCCAGGAAGTTTTTTGTGTTTGCTAATGTCACTTTTTTTGAATCTAATCCTTATTTCAATACCCCTCTTGAAAGAGAGAGCCCTCTTGGTGAGGACGAGGATCATGATCCACCTATTAATGAACTTTTAGTTCCTTACCTAGAAAGACCTTGGAAACTCTATCAACTCTTGGATCTACTTATCCACTATAGGTTTTCACTCTGAAGAAGAAGAGAATATCTCAACTTACACAAGTCCAATCATCTAAAACGGCTCCTGCTCAAACTCCTAAACCAGTGCATGAAAATTGTGAGGTAACTCCTGATCTTCCTAAAAACACTGAAATTCCTTCAAGTCTTCATGATGTTTTTGATAGTCAGGATGTATATGAAAATAATTCAAAATAGATTGATTTGGATCTACCTATTGCTTTGAGAAAGGGGACTTGCAGTTATACAAAAAAAAAGCCTTATATCTGATATCTTCATTTCTTTCCTATGAGAAATTGTCTTGCAGTCACAAAGCTTTCCTTACTAGTCTTCATTCTATCAAAATACCATAGTCTGTGTCTGAGGCATTAGTAGATGAGAATGGCCTTAAAGCAATGAAGGTTGAGATGGACGCACTTGAGAACAACAATACATGGGATCTTGTTCCATTGCCAAATGGAAAGAAGCCTGTTGGGTGTAAGTGGGTCTTCACTCGCGAATACAATTCTAATGGTTCTTTAGACAAATACAAGGCTCGGCTTGTTGCCAAAGGATATACTCAAACATATAGGATTGACTATGAAAAAACTTTTTCCCTTGTTGGGAAAATGAATACTTTCCATATTCTATTATCTTTAGCAACTCTTTATGACTAGAAATTGCTGCAATTTGATGTGAAGAATGCATTTTTACATGGTAATTTAAAAGAAGCGATTTATATGGAGATTTCTTCTGGGTTTGGTTCTCATCTTCTTCCTAGTACTATTTGCAGGCTTAAAAAGGCTTTGTACGGCTTGAAACAATCGCCCAGAGCATGGTTTGGTAGGTTTTCAAAGGCCATGATTGGCATGGGATTTAAACAGAGTCAACGTGATCACACTTTGTTCATCAAATATTCTTCTTCAGGGGGAGTGACAATTTTACTTGTCTATGTTGATGATATCATAGTAACAGGGAGTGATTTGGAAAGGATTTAGTCTTTGCAAAGTTAATTTATGAAATAATTTCAAATGAAAGATTTAGGGAGGTTGAAATATTTCTTGGGCATTGAAATGGCGCATTCTAGGCATGGCACCTTCATATAGACACTCTAATTGAACAAAATCACAGACTTTGTAAGGAAGGAAAACGTCCTAGCAACCTGAACAAAGGTCATAAGCCCAGCAAACCTCCTCCTCCAGAGCCTTCTCTCAATAAGGAATCCTATCAAAGACTTATTGAGAAATTGATTTATATAGCTCACACTAGGCCAAACATTGCCTACGCTGTGAGCACGGTAAGTCAATTTATGTATGATCCTAAAGAACCTCATCTACAAGCAATTTATCACATACTTGAGTATTTGAAGGGCACTCCGAGAAAAGGCATTCTATTTAAGAGAGGGAAAAAATTGACTCTTGAAGCATACACGGATGCACATCAGGGAGGGGATATGGATTCTAGAAGGTCTACATCAAGATATTGTATGTTTTTTGGCTCAAATCTCATTACTTGGAGGAGTAAAAAGTAGGATATAGTATCTAGATCTAGTGCTGAAGTTGAGTTTAAAGCTATGGCACTTGGAATTTGTGAGTTGTTGTGGGTGACGATAATTTTATCAGATTTAAGAATCAAATGGGTAGGTCCAATGAGACTTTATTATGACAAGAAGTCAGCTATCAACATTGCTCATAATCTTGTATAACATGATATAACCAAGTATGTTGAAATTGATTGACACTTTATGAAAGAGAAGTTGGAAAGTGGTCTAATCTGTACTCCCTACATACCTTTAGGTGATCAATTGGTAGATATACTCAAAAGGATTATCAAGTGAACATTTTCATACATTAACATCAAAGTTGAGAATGGATGACATCAACTCTCCAACTTGAGGGGGAGTGTTAAAATGTGTAGTTAAAAAGTATAAATTTATTTCTTTAATAGATAGATTAGCTAGTGGTTAGTAGCAAGTGGCTATTGGTTAATATTTATTACACTATGTGAATGTACTCTTATAAATATATAGCTAGCTTTTGTAAATTTGTGAAGTGAAATAATAAAAAGTTTTCTTTCACCAAATTCGTCAAAGTTAAATGGTGCATTTGAGCGAAATGGAGAGAAAATGGTGAGAAGCTAGTGGAGATAAGCCGATCCCGACAGAGACACCCAAGCCCGAGAAATTAGCACTGAGCTTTCGCTTTCTTAGAGCTTCTGTATTCTATTTTTTGGACCAACTTCTATGATTCTATCTGTATTCTTTTAATACTTGCAAATATATACCACAACAATCAAATCATGAACACGAGCCCACACTTTGACGAAAAAGACCAGAGTATATATAATGCTATTGTCACGGGTACGAAATAACCGTGAAGTAAATGGTAATTGCACATTAATCAATTTCATACTCTTATTTTATTTTATTTTTTGCCAAGAGATAAAAAACAAATTCATCAAGATTAAATAATAAAGTTAGAATTAGATGAAATCAGTAATAATTGAATAGTGTATTTTAACAATTAATCTCATTAATTAATACATATTTTTTAAAGACGATGAAAAGGAAAAATTAATAAATGCTCTTAATAAAAAAATTGTTTCTTATAAATGGAACAGTGACAATACTTCCCAACACTTCTTATGAAAAGGACCCAGGAGTACTATTATACAAAGCATAAAGTTCATAATTATAAATTATAATAATTATGATTTATAATTATAATCAAGCCCTGTCCGTGTGCGCCATTTATTTCTATTATTATGTGTCATATATTCTGAATCGTTCCCTCCTTCAGTCCTTTCCCACTCCTTTCCTCGTTGATTTTGTTGTCCGGACCCCCACTCGCATTCCTAACCGTCACCAGTCACCACCCACTTTCATCACATCGATATTCAAATGAAAATTTTAAAAAATAAGTGCATGACAGACTTCTCAATTCTCAAATACAATTTTTCTCAATAATTCGATTAGAATGTGGGTCTATATTTTGTATTATTAGTTTATGACTGAGTTGCGGCATAATATTCATAAGAGTAACTTCTTATTATTTTCTTAAAATTTTATATTATGTAAACATAAATATAGATACCCTCTAATCTTATTTATAGAATAGAAAAACTGATAAAATATACTGAAAACAACTAATGATATTTGCTGAGCAGAACTTTGCGGCTCATTCATGAATATCTACCCGCGAGCAACTGCTTCCCATTTTGCATATCATGTGTTATTGTAATCACAGTCACCATCACCTTATCCCTATCACTGCCATTGCCACCTCTCCATTATTTCCTTTCCCTCCCTCTGTCTTCCCATATCGCCATTTTCATCCTTTTTTGTTTGTTTTTTTTTTTTTGCTTCCTATATTTACAGCAATATATTCATTATTTATTTTACAAGATTCCAAATTTTTCCACTTAACAAAAAAAAAAAAAAAACAAAACCACTAGACTTCTTTGTCAGTGATTGCCAAATCAACTCTTCATAGCTTTCACCCATCTTAACAAGGACAAACAGGTCAGGTTCAACTTTCTGCTGCTCTTTTTCTTCAATTTTTTTTTTTTTAAAAGAATGTCTCTCCCATTCTCCTTGGCCTGTGATGTATACGTCCATTTTCCCTCTTGGCCAGGGCATTGCTTGACTTCCATACATTAAAAATGAAGGGATTCAAATTTTGTCAGAGCATCTAGCATTGAAAGCACCTTGAATAGAGAGACTAAAATTAAAGGAGCTCGGATATCAGACCCTGAAGCTGCTTCATGCTTCATACCAGTACTACATCACTGGTTTGCTGTGCTGCTGAATACGCATACATATAACATTCTGAATCATTGATAATCTTATTTACACATCAATTGTCATAGATTCCAAAATTTCATTAAGAAACTTTGTTTTGAGAAAAAAGGAAATAAGCAATGCCACTTGTGTAATGTCACATAAAAATGCTTGATGCCTGGAGATTCCGCATGACATCAAGGAGCACTAAGAAAAACACAATACATAGAACACGAGAGTTCACAAGCTAGCTGGCTCGCTCGCACTTGTCCATTGGCAGCTTGACAGAAGCTTTGCTTTTTTTTTTTTTTTAAATCACCATAGGACTTTGGCTGCTCTCTAGCGAATACACAAATCAAGATTATCAAAAACAGATTGGAAAGAGTCCAAACTATACCTAGAAATAAAGTAACAATCAATTTACTCCAAGTGGTGTACTCACCTATAGTATCATGTGGAATAATCCGCATGAGCTCGCACCAATCATGATGAACAAGCCAGAGTTCCATCTCTTAAGATTTTAAACGCTGAGATCTGTGGGTGGTTATTATTTCCTGTACGGAAAAAAATACATGTGAGCTTTCATCTTTCTCACTGCATGGACAATAGGGAAGACACAAACATGAAAAATGAGACTACACCTGAGAATAGCGCACATGATCATCATGCAACTTCGAGGTTTTTACTATTGTCTCCCACTTGGTATTATTACCGGGTGTTGTATGAGAATCCTGGCTTATAGATTGGGAATGAGTGCTTAAATTTGAATGGTGCAATGGGTTCCTTACTGAAACTAAAGGCAGGGCGCGCCAGAGCCATGACTCAGAGGGCGATTTTGGTAACGGTGGTGGAAGAGGACACAAGACAGACTCACCAACATCATTTTCTGAATAACCATCAGCTATTACAATTTGCTTGTTGGTGATATCTGAATCCAACATGTTCTTTTCTTCCAAACCTTGAAGTTGTCTTCCATGTGGACAAGATTCTGGAGAAAATGAATGTGAAGAAGATGACTGTTTTAATTTTACCGTACTTGCAGAATCTATATACAATGTCTTCTCAACTGTTGAATTATTTTCTTGATTGTTTCCAATTCCATGACTTCTGCTCTGGAAATTCAAATATCTGTTAGACCGACTTATATTCTCAGCTTCTCTAAAATCAGAAAGCACCTTTGCTCCACGAAGTAGATATTGAGGTCTACTTCGACAAGGAGACACGCCAGCAGCAGCGGCTCTTGAACGCCGGAATGGAGACAACCTTTCTTGCTGCTGCGATTCTCCTGAGTTATAAGTGAACCTACATGATTGACTCATCCACTTCTTCCTCACCTCCCTTATGTCCATTGATGCAGCTTCAGAGCTCGACTTGTTCTTATAAATGGCATCAATGGCCTGCAGAATCATGCATCCTTGCGGGTAAATGTATTGAAACACAAAACACTAGGGAAAAAGTCTGTCAGACACTTAGAAGATGCATTTATCTGACACAATAGATATAACATAATAACTTAGACATGGATGTCTCAAATTTTGCGCGCGTTGTTACCTTTTTAACTACAGGAGCTGGGCTATAAGATCGAACATGAGAGCCTTTGTTTGGTTTAGCAACCTCATAGGCAGAAGAAGACATGGGAACTATGTTCCTCAATTTCATGCCAGGCACAGGATTTAGCAAGCACAGAGAATTCTTAATGTGTAATTGGGGAAGTAGCCCGCAACCTTTGGCTGAAGCATTTGCAGAGTCATGTTTATCATCTTCACTTTCTTCTTCAGTTTCACACTGGTTAGAACTTTGTATAATATCAGAGATATAATTCTTAAGCAGCAGCTTCTTTTGCTCACGAAACGACCTGTTAACTTCTCTAGCCTGTTCCATCACCACAGATTGCATCCTTGAAGCAAATTCTGGAACCTGCAAAGTCATTGCTTTAGCTGCAGGCAAGAACCGGTTCATCATGAAGTCTCTATTTTTCTGATCCGTATGAAATGTTCCAGACTTGTTCGCATTCGAATTGTCTAATTCTAACCCACTCATCCCGCTTACACCACAGCTCATTAAGACGGATTCTGGAGGCGACATTGTATCAAGGGCATCAGAATAAGCATTATCAATATCATTCCCCTTGGACCCTCTTCTCTCATCTTCTGTTTCTTTGTTAAACGTTGGAGTTGGAGTGACAGGAGGCTCCTTCGACTTGGATCTTCCGAGGATGTTTTCCCAATTGAAGGGAACAGCAACAGGTTCTGTTCGTTGATGCATAGTCGAGTCTGATTTAGGGTACAGAAGAATGTGTTTTTGGTCCGATGTTTTCTGCGATGCGGCAGAACGTCTCACTGACAGAAGAGGGGCTTCAATATTCAATCTTTTTTCATCCATCTTGTTCAACAATTGAATTATATCACGCGGCCCCTCTCAATTCAGGGCAAGGTCATGAATAGTGTAAGCAGTGAGGCAGAAAATGTCAGGTAAGAATCACGAGCCTTTCTGCCATGAAAATCTGGATAAAGACAAAGAAAGAAGAATCAGGTTATGAATAACTCGAGACCTCCTGGCTACAAGTACTCAAGAGTCAATACAGTAGAAGCAATTAACAGGTCCGATATTGGAAGGATGGCAAAACAGATCCAAAGACGCAAACATTGAGCAGAGTTTACACCAACATGACACAGAGCACAGAGGGGAAGAAAAATGTCACAATTCTGTATCGGAAGGCTGGGTAAAGGAGCTTGTTTCCCCCATTTGTACGATAAGATCAAGAACAATTGAACATGAAACACCTTAATTTGAACAGAGGAAAGACAAAATGTTTTGTTATCACAATTCACAGGTTCAATCTCAGAAAGGCCAACAGGGAAAAATAAAATAAAATAAAAGAACGTGCTTGGAAAAAGAAGAAGAAAACAAAACCATCTATATAACAAAAAGGATATGAAACGATGCGGACGGCAACAGAAGCGAAAGGTTCGTGGTTCTGGGACCAAAGTATTTGACATGGTTATAAAGTAAGAAACTTGACCGGAGAAACCCAGAAGCCGGAGGAAATGGAGAAAGACATGGAATTTGGAGAAAGTAAAAGAAGAGGAAGGGAGGATTACCTGAAGAAAATGACATGAAGATGAAGAGAGATCGGAAGAGAAATGTAGGTTGCAGGGCGACAGGAGGAGAGGGAATGAATAAGAGGGAAGAAAAAGCAGAGGGGCTGGAGACGGAGACAGAAGCTTTAGCATGCTTCTTTTGGTTTCAAAGTATTTTCACAGTTCGTTTTAGCTGTGGGCGAATGGAAAGTAGAGATAGCCAGCACAGTGCGATAGTGAGGGTACATTCTCAAATCGTAACCGTCCTCGTCCTCGAATATCCAAACGAGAATATTGGATTTTACTTACATGTTTGTCTTGAAGTAATCCTCCATGTTTTTTTATAAATTATTTGATTAACTTTATCCTGATTAAAATAAAATAAATAAAAATATATAAAATTTTAAATATATTTTTATATAATAAATTTAAAAAATAATGTCATATTATTATTTTTTATAAAAAATAATTGAGAAAATTAATCTTTTAGTCCTTCAACTTTTAACTCACTTATAATTCAGTCTCTCAACTATGGCTCGCTGCAATTCAATCCTTTAATTATAACTTGCTGCAACTCAGTCTCTCAACTTTTGATTTACCTATAACTTGGTCCTTATTTTTTAATTTTTTTAAAAATTTTTATCAAATAAGAAGGATAAAAAAATGCTCATATATTATTTTAAAATACCCTCTTCTTATTCATTAATGTGAGATATAACTAATATGAAAAAAATTAACAAAAATTAAGAAATTAATTTATAAGTGATTCAAAAATTGAGGAATTGAGTCATAGGCGAGTTATAGTTGAGGGATTGAATTATAAGTAATTTAAAAGTTAGAGGACTAAAAGATTAATTTTTTCAAAATAATTTTAAAAATATTTTTTAAATATTATTTAAAAAGTTATATCGTGATTTTTAAATAAAATTTAATTAACCTTCTAAAACGTATTTTATAAATAAAATTTGGAGGGAGTATTTATTACCTATTTATCAACAGGCATATTTCATGTATTCACTGATTTACCAGCTTACCTAAATGGGAACCTGCAATTGAACTTGATCCAACTTTTGAATCAATATGTAAGGCTGACTGAGACGGACCACAGTTTCAAACATGCCTGTGTGAGATGAGATGAATTAGTTTTGGGTAGAGTTGACTTGATGTTTTTGGGTGAAGTTTGGAGGAGATAGAAGAATATAGGTGTTAAGCCTCAAGTGTTAAATTTTATAAATTTATAAATTCATCTTTTAATTTTATGAATTAATTGTGATAAATTTAACTTATTTGTTGAAGAATAAATGATTTATTTTTTTGTTAAAATTTAAAATACTAATTATAAATATAATATAATGAAATTATTAAATTAAAAGTTAAATTGATAAATTCCTAAAATTTAATATTTAGAATTTAAATTTAATTAATTAGGGAGCACTTTGTCATCCTCCAGTGGCGTATTATAAATCAGAAAAATACAAGGGAGGGGTGGATCACGTGATGATGGTAAAGGGTAGAGACAATGGAGAGAACAAAATGGGAAGGAAGAGGGTCAAGGGAAGGAGCGGGGCCCACTGAATTTAGTTGACATCGAAGAGCCGTGCCCATGCGTATGCAATGTGAATCATGGCAAAATGGAGACAAAACGCACTCAAATGGAGACAAAAGCCAAATGATAGCCTCGACTCTCAAGAGGTAAAGGGCAAAGAGGACGTGCATAAAGAGGGACATCCAAAAAAGTAAAATTCCACCATAGTCGAACCCAATAATTGAACCCCAATCTTTTTGCCTCCTAATATATTCATCTAATTTTATTTATAAATTATTTATATTAATATTATTAATATTAATATTATAAAAATATAAAAAATAAAATTTTAATAAAATTATAAATATAACTCGCAAAAAATAAATAAATTATAGAATATTATTTTTATTTTTTTCTTTCTTACTTTTTAAAGTAGTTTAGATATTTCATTTAAAATAAAATATCACTATCAATATAATAATTTATAAAATGAATTACTTTACTTTTCTAAAAAATGACCAATAAAGTAAACTAGAGAGTAGAGAGAGTATTACAAACCAACTTATCAAATTAAAAGTCCACTAACCCTTGTTTTTGACTTTTTTTTTCCTAAGCTATTCCAATCAATTTAACGGCAAGTGGTCCATTTGTTGCAACTGATTTTATAAAAAATTATTATTTTTGAAATTTTATTATATTTTTTAATTTTAAAAAATTAAAATTCAAAAAAATAAATTTTTAATTATTTAAAAAAATTATTTTAAGTAGCTTCTGTAAATAATCTGATAAGAGTATGATATATGAGAGATTATGTTTTAACTAAATATAATATAATTTTTGCTTTTTATAAAATTTCTACAAAATAAATATCTTTTTTGTAAAATGTTTAAACTATCTAAAACTTTTTTTTTTATTTTAAACAAACAAGCTCTCAGCCTCAAACGCATCCTCTCTCAATTTTGTTTCCTCCCAACTTCTTTATTTTTCTACTAATTATTAATTTTGAGTACAAGGGAGTATAAGTATGTAAACAACATCACTCTATTTTGTCTAATAAAAATTAAATCATACACAGATTATAACTATTCATGATTTCTTAAGTAATCTAATCTAATTTGTTGTAAATTTAATGCTAGTATTTGATATTCCTACAAATGACTGGTAAATAATTTTTTACTTCGCTGCATTTTATTTTGGTTGGGTTGCCCTGTGAATTCGGATGTAATTTTCCATCACTTCACTCACTATCTACAACTTTGTTAGATGGGTTCATTGATTGGAAGTTAACTTCTCAGAAAGATATCTCTGGCCAGTGACATATAAGTTGCTTGATTACTTCCTTTTTCGGGAAGTTATAATTTTTAAAATAAAAATTAATATAAATTTTGATCTCAATACTTTACTTGCATTTTATTATTAATTCCTATATTTTTTTTATATTTTAAATCTTTATGGTTTTGTTTTTTTGTTATTTTAAATCCCTCTAAGATTCCTAACACATTGTTTATGGAGGAATTTAAAATATTAAAAAATAAAAGTGTATGAGTCTAAAATATTAAAAAAATATAGGAACTAACAGTAAAATATAAATAAAGTACAGGAACCTAGTTATGTTTTTTCTTTTAATATATGTATATTATTTTTCATTTAATAAATAAAATACTAGAACAAGTATATTGGGGTAGAAGTTAATAGGTTTTTCTCCGCAAGTTAGTTTTGGAGTCATATGAAAAATGTAAGCTTTAAGTTCAGCTTAGTGAACAGTTGACAATTTTAGAGAACTAATCGAGAGAAATTTCTATCGTGGGAAGTTTAACTTCCCTTCCTACGTATATCCAACCAAACTAATATTGACAGGATGTGCTTCGATTATCCTTCGAATCAAACAAAAAAAACAATAAAAAATAACATACACCTCTCATTTAAAATATAAAGTATTTTTTAAAAAATTAAATGTTAAAAAATATAAGATATTTTTAATCTTTCAAGGTGTAATCATTATTTTTTTTTTCTAAAATTGTTACCGTTAATAAATAACTTTATATTTATTATAGGGTATTTGATAGAAATAAATGTAGAAAAAAGTGATTAGTTTGAAAATAGATAACTACTTTATTGGAGGTGAGATTCAATTAAAAATGCCTTATATTTTTTAACCAAAGGAATATATATTATAAGTGAATTAATTAATATTAATTAAATTTTAAAGTGTTAAATTTTAAAAATTTATTTATTTTTTAGCTATATTAAAATTTATAAAATAAATTATAAATTTTTTATAAAAAAATTACAAAATTAATAACTAAATTTATAAATTTATAAAATTTAACACTTTAGAATTTATTTTGAATTAAGGGCACCTGCTTGTCATTCTCCCATCAAACAATCTTCCTTTATGGCATCCGTAGTCACTGTAAAACTACATTGATTAAATATCCGGGTGGTGGGGCCCACTGGTAATGTTTCTGTTTTTTTTTTTTTTTAATTCAGTTAGTAGCTGGATTTGACATGGGGAAGTGTCTGTGCGGCTGTGCGGGATCCGTGCATTTTTATTTGATTTCGTTTTATTATTTCTATTAAAAAATATAAGATATTTTAATTAAATTTAACTTAATAAAATATTAATTATTTATCTTTTAATTAAATTTATCCTTTTATATTATTTTTATTTAATAGAGTGTTTCATTTTAAAATAAATATAAAATATTTATTCAATAAAGATACTTTAAAAAAAATAAAGATTACATTTTTAAAAAATTTAAAATATCTTATATTTTTAATATTTAATTTTTCCAAAAATATCTTATTGAAGGGAATATTTATTAAATTTTTTCTGTTCTTGGATTATTGAATTGGACTGTATGCCTTCTCTCCTTTTTTATAACTTTTTTTAAAATTGTGTAAATATTACATTTTATTTTTTAAAATTGAAAAATAAAATTTTATGTATATTTTCAGTGTGAATTATAAATAAAAATTATAAAATAAATTAATTTATTTTTAATTTAATTTTCGCAGAAAAATTTAAACAAGAATGCAACATTGTTCATCCCTTTTTTTTTAACATGCTTTGAGTAATTAATTTCACAATAAAATATTTTTTAAATATTTTAATATAAACTGGTAAAAAATTAATAAAATAAATTATATTTTTGAATTGATTTTATGACATCATTTTAAAATTTTTTATTCGTGTTCTTTCTACATTAAATTTTAATATTCAAATAAGTTATAATACATAGAGTGTGTGGACAATTTAAGAAATTGTTATCTAGATTTTAACTTGCATGAAGTAAAATATTTGTAATGGATAAAATAAAACTAGTTGTTTATATAGTGGGAAAGAATGGAACTCTAAAATAAAATCTATGTCTTAAAATTTAAATTTTCTTGGGTCTAATGTATAGAACAAAATAAATTATTGTATATATTTGAGTATAATTACAAATTTTAAAATAAAATAAATTGTTTATAGTTTTTAAACAGGTACTTTTATTTCTATATTATCATAACTAAAAAAACTTCTCATATCATACTAGAAATAAAAAATATAATTTATTATTACAATCACTAAAGAAATTAAAAAAATAGTTATTTTTGTCAGTTCTTTTAAAAAAATTAATAAAATTTAACTTCCACCTTACTCACTTAAAAAAATGGCTTGAATTAATAGTGTTTCTACGTA